CCAGACTGTAGCTGAAGTGAGGCAGGTGGGACAATCAACTAACACGCAAATGAAAAATCAGGTATTCAGCTAAATTTAAGATTACAATTGTATAATTCATTTATTATTAATATAATGATTGGATTGTGATATCAAATGGTCCCAGCTGCTGTGTTAGGTACTGCAGAAGCTAAGGAGTGAGTGCAGCCTAGGCAGAAATTACATTAGTGGTAGAGGAAAAAAACCACCAGCGCCAAAAGGGGAATTAATTTGTCTGAGGTCCCACATCGAGTCTGTGACAGTTCTGAGACTGAAGCCAGTCTCCTGACCTCCAGCTCGTTGTCTTTTGAACTAAACTACACTGCTACTCATGTCAGGATATTAGAAAAATTTGGCGGTTTTATTAAATGTTGGTATTGATTTTGGCAAGCTACTTGCAACATCCACTATTGTAATGACAAGGAGTTTAAAAATCTCAGTTAACGAAAGATGCAAATTTCTTGGTTTCGTGAAGCAATAACAAGCAAAAAAAACCATAAGCAAAATAGCCTCTGGAAATCATTATAGGCTATTTCTGGCTAAAGGAGGAGAACAGTTTTGTTAATTATAATTCCTGATAAGGAACACAATCCTTGAATAACAGCCCTTAATAAATCATCACTGTTTTAATTTTCATGGTTTGTTGCCTCCTAACGTTATCAGTTTGAGGGCTGATAAAATTTTTAATGTATGAAGTTACCAACAAGACATTTCTTGTTGCAATCACAGATTAAGAACCGGATCCTGAAAGTTGCTGAGCACGTGCAACTCGCACTGGAATTCAGGAACTCCAAAGATCCGTCTAATGAGCTATTAAAATTATCTGGATTCTAGCTGGCTTGATATGCTTCACTTATCAACAGAACCTAAATTGTTTAGTAACCTCAGGATATCTCTGCTAGGTACAAAAGAACCGGACAACCACAAAAGATACACAGATCAAAAACTTTCTTCCCAGTTTTTAAAGAAATTCCTTATAAAACCTGATTTAGTTTCCTAGGTCTGGCTAACGTAAGTTCAGGCTACAGTGCCCTCAGGAAAAGGAGAAAATGTACGTAATTTTTTCTACTGCTCCACCCTTGGCACTAGGCAATGGCTAATGATGATTACGGTGGCGGGAATATGATCTAGAGGTACCACTTACGAATTGCTGTAGGAAAGCACACTTTGATCAGAATAGTTTTCATCACTGCTATGCCATGCTATGTCAGAGAACTGGGGGGACCAATCGAGTAAGTGACATACTTTTACATATGATATCTTCATGCCAGTTACAAAAGAGAATGTCCCTTCATGATCCTGATACAGCACAAAGCAATCAGAGGGAAGACTGTGTATCAAACCTTTCAATTGCAGAACATCTGAAGGAAACAAAGTGCAAATTCTTGTGTTTTGAATGTTCTCCTGGTGAAAACTGTCATATAAAATAGTATTTTTTAATTCTATTTAAAGGCAAATTCTACTTGTATCAGATTTGCACATAAACAGAGCTTTGACAATAAAAAGGATTTGAAAAGGAAATAATATGAGTTCAGACAACTATTTTTTTTCACAAGTTAGCAATATTATTGTACTATGCCAGGTCCTGCTAAAGACAAAATTAATACTTTTTTTGTTTGTTTGTTTATCACGTACAGCATAGATTTCCTATAGCAATCAGCAGTGCTGCAGGTATTGTGCAGGTATTGCATGTTTAACAAATGTGCACAAAGTTGGCAAACGACTTAGAGGGAGATTTTGTGCAGCTGTTATGATACTGTGGAGTTGCTGCGAATTCTCTACAGAGCAATGCTGATGATATAATTGGCTTCCAGAAAAGCACATTAATGCAGGCCGCCAGATAAAAGTGGGTCAGCTTCCACTTACCAGCCAGTTTAGAATGAAAGTTCTATGAAAGGCCGAAGTACACTGAAGAGAAAAAAAATTTGTGTGGAAGCTATCAGGTACTAGGATAAATGTTTTTTATTTCATGTGGGAAGAAAGAGCTCATCTCTTTTAAATCCTCGAATATAAATGCTGAACTGCTCTTTCATCTGAGCCTACAGTCACCCTTTGCTGGATGCAAACAACTAACACAGACCAAACCCTGCTAACTGAAAAAGAAAACATGGCAACACACAGATTCCCATTGCATTCAGAAGAACTTATATATATTAGTGCTGCCAAAAAACCCCCACATAATGGACTCTGAAACAAGGTTTTAAACGGCATGAATAGCCTCATCTCCATGATCCTGGTGCTCTCTTATCAAAATGATTATAGGTCAAGGAGGGTGACAGATTTGCAAAGGAAGAGCATTTTGTGGTGATAGAACTGTATTCACAAACTTGCACGCTCACAAAGCAGAATTTTCAAATTCTCTCATTCAAATATTTCTTTACCTCTCCTTTACTCTAAGCTCTGTCCTTGTCTCTTCTCATTCACTCCCCTTCTGAGTCTTTGTCCTCCACTTGTGCTTCTCGTCTCCTGTTCACACTTCGGATTCCCTGGCACTGCTCAGACTTCTCTGTGCATGGAATAGCAGGTCCCCAAAACTTGTTTAAGTCAAAAGAAAGAGTCCTGATGACTTTAGCAAGCTTTCACCTAATTCTGACCCAGACTTCTCTTCATCTTTGCATCAGGATGTGAAAATTCACCTTCTGCACTGAACACTCCAGATACTGTTAAATGCACAATAATAAAGTGTCCTGCCGGATCAGGAGACATCTGCTAAATAACCACTGTATCTGTATACCATAAACTCCCCCAAGGCAGTGGTATGTTATTCATTTGGGCTTATTCTACTTACTATGCAGAGCTGTGAACAGCACCAGCAAACAGACAACACCCATTTGTCATTTGAGAAGATAGTCTTGCTTCACTCTGAAGAGACTTTTGGGTGCACCCATATTTAGACGCAATTTATCCTCAAATAAGCACATTCATCTCCCACTATTCCTGCTGTCTAGACAGACTACTAGGACATATTCTCTAGAGCAGGGGTTAGATGGATTGAGACTCCCTTGAGAGCCCTTCCCAGACTCTAATTGACTTGATTGTTAGGCAATTTTTCCTGATGTCCAACTTAAATTTCTTTTTTGCTCAATTTCATCCTATCACTTCCAATTACGTCTGACTGAACTGCTCAAAACAATTCTTCTCCTCTCTGTCTCCTGCCAATGAGGATGCAGCACATGCATCTCTTATTAGCACACCTTCACTTCGGAATTTATTGGCAATTCTGAGTACGGAGTTGACATTTTATGCCCACTTCTTACAGATGTCGAAGATATTTTATTATCCATGGAAGAAAACATAAGCCTGTGAATGTGTGTAGATGATACAGGGCCTTCCCCCTTTCTTCCATAACTGAGACATGTGGTAATTAGAGTAAGAAAGCCTGAATGTAGCTAAGTTACCTTATGCAAAGAGACAGCTTCAGTGACAACATGGGCTTGGGAAGTCTCTCTTCCCCTCTGTTCTTACAATAATGTTCAAAATAATTGGGAAGATGAAGACAAAAGGAAGAAGTTGAAACACTTCTCAAAGGGAAAATATCAATGGAAACAGAAAAGCTGCATTTCCTCAAACTACTTACTGGATGATGTTGTAGCAGAAACAATGACTTTTCCCCCAGTTTCTCAAAGAACACTGTAAATTGAGAAAACAATGGCTTACTCCCACCCACCTAAAATTTCAGCTCAAGACATCTGATGACAATAAACTACTGCAGTTCAGTATTTTTAGGAAGAACAGGATGTTATAATCTCCCTGTGTACTAAATCTGACAAAGAAGCCACAGGACGAAAAGAGCATCTGGAAAATGCTTATACATATAAATTGGATCCAAACACCTAAGGAACAATGGACTCATTTCACAGGTGCACTGAACTACATGATCGGTAGAGCCAGAAGCAGGGAGTCTGGCCTCCGACAGTAGAAAATGGACTACTGTAGCCTGAGTAGCCCATTACTGACAAAAGCCTCAGTAAGACATTCAGATCATGCAAGAATGGTTATATTCCACAGACTGACTTACTCTGACAGCCCTCTGAGCTGCCAGGATATGAGGTAATGCCAGTCTAATAACAGACACATTAGAATGTGGACCCATCTACCTTCACCCCTTTGTCCACATGTCCACAGGCACAATGCATTACAGCCCTTGGAAGGGGGTACTCTGAGCGGTACCTGGATGAGAAAGCAATGGCACAGAGTAAATTTTGCCATGTTTCCAGAGGATGAGAATTCCCCCAAGAGTTGAGAAATCTCTCCAGGAGTGAAGCTGCTGGAGATAGCTTTGCTATGCCTTTGCACTGCACTGGTAAATTTGCAAAACCTTCTCCTGTGCCGAGACCATGTACTGATACTACCCTAATTTTTTTTTCCTGAATTTCTTCTACATAACTTGGATCAAAAGTGAACATATTTTCATAACTGCCTAGAACAGTCATGTAACAACAAGAGAAATGACACACAATGAGCTTTGTGCCCATATACACACAGGCTGCCTGCAGTCATAATTGCATGTGTTTTCACAGTATATTTTTGTTAAGAGGAGGGATATATTGAGTTCACAGAATGTTAGTTTCTCATTATTATATGCAATTCCAAATAATAACAACAAAATGAGTTAAATTAAGAATTCAAAGCAAAGAGAGCTATATGTATTTGGAGGAGGCCACTCTGTTGGGTTCATTGTAGCTTCTCATCACTAATGAATCGCAAACCACATTCTATTTGGGGAATAAAGTGTTAAAACAGGCTAGGCAGTTCTCTTAACAGTAGTCAGGAATCAATACAGAGGCACCTGAATCAGCAATTTCCTGACTGACAGTCAGTCTCATAAATGCTGTAATATGGTTTTGAGCAAAGGCCACAGAATGAGCCATTTGATTTATAAGCTGGCATTGATGACAAGGTGTTGGACATTGTCACAGTTAAGGCGTTAAGCTCAGCCCAACTACAACTGCTTGCTTTCAGTCAGGGGTACAATGCCCTACCTGGCCAAGCTGTTCACAAGCTGTTTGATACTCAGCTCGCTGACAGAGGTCTTTCACACGCTGGTATTTGGGTAGAAAGTTTTCTTCTTGGGCATCTACCTTCTCATTCTCCCTCTTATGCAGCAGTTTACTGGGAAAGAAAGAAAGAAAAAAAAAAAAAAGATATTTTCGCATTAATTCCAAGATATACATGCAGTTTGCTGAAAAGGCTCAGAGGAGTAGGTTATCTGCCAAGTCCACAGCATCATTGGTGGCCAAAACTTAATAGTCCAGTAGAAACTAGCACTTACCATCATCTCTGATAACTCACAAGTTATTCATATCATGCTCTCAGGGAGTGTACAAAAACATATAAAACCAAGACAGTGTGTTTCATGTCTGATTGGCAGGCAGTGATAACAGTCGATATAAAAAGACCATATCCTCCCCACTCTACAGGGCTGCACTTTGCAAGCCCTTCATGCCCCATGTTACATATTAAGGCAGAGGCATAGAGCAAACGGCCAGCAGATGAACATGCAGAGAGGAAAGGTTATTCATACTCCCATGATACAAGCAGGAGGGTCGGGGCGGGGGGCAGCAGCTGAAAGAAAAACAGAATGCCTTTCCATCTCTCAATCCAAGTAAAACTCCCCTTCCCCCACCCCAACAGCACATTTATGCAGGCTGTAGGCAAAGACCATACATTCCCTCCTATCACACAATCACTGCCATTAGGCATACTGCAGCCGTGTCCCTGCTGGCACAGCTAAATGGCTTTAGGTCTGTGGTAGAGAGCTGCTTTGGCTTTAGCTATTCAGTATCCTTCTATTTAAAAAGACTGGGCTTTGTGATTAACACTTTCCTTACCCTCTTTCCACTAGGAACGAGTCTCTCCACACCTTCATCTTTTTCTTTAAATGGAACCTAGGAGGAAACGAGGAGAGGAAGAAGCAATTCCCACAAAACCAGTAATCAAGTCATGCCCCAGTTTTCGATCCCACCCCCAATTCAGATGAGAAACATTACATATAACTGCACAAGGGGACATCCAGCTTTATGAAGCAGGCACATAAAGTGCAAATCATGAGCAAACATAGGACAGATTTGTTCTCACAGGGTCAAAATCCACAACAGATTCACACAGTGCAACTACTTCAACATAAGCATGTTTAAGGCACAGGGGATTAACTGAATTGTCCTTGATCACAAAAGATCGCAAATTAAATCAGGATTTCCTGACTCCAGTTTGGGCTCTTAACCTGCACACTACCCCCAAAGTATCCTATTCTAAAGCAGCTGCTCCTTTCCCCCTCTCCCTCCACGCAGCTACTGGTAAAGCAAATCTCTTGCTTCCCTTTCTCTGCTGATTTTCTCTAGCAAGCATCCAGTCTAATTCTCTTCCTCAGTCTTTTTCCAATGAAAGTATTGATGGAAGGTCTCAAATAATAACTGTGCAATTCTGAGTGCTAGCCTGTCTTTATAGTATAGTCTGATACACAACCAACCCTTTCAACTCAATTATTCTACAATTTACTCAATATGAAATGCTTTGCTACAAATGATGCCACAGAGACATTTAAAATCTATAACTCATATAGCTAAAGACCTTCATGTGTAGCCCTCTCACTGCTACACAGATTGCATTTAGTATATCCAGATGCCATATATGCCATATAGGTAGTATATGAGCCTGAAAAAATGAAAATAAATAACTGAAGTAAGTCACATATTGCCAAACAGGTCTTTTGATTTTCCAGCGAATGATGTACTCATATAGATGGTAATTTTATGATATTTTCCTTTAAATTTGCTGCATGTTGCTGAATACTTGCTCACTCTCCTGTACAAACACATGCATGTTTACACGCACATTTCCATTTCTTACCTATTCACTGGTCTCTCAGAATCCAGAAGCTTTAGAATGGATTTACCATCCATATCAGACGGAATATCTAATCCGGCAATATCTAGAATTGTAGGTGCGAGATCAATATTCAACACAATGTGAGGATTCCTGAAAAAAACATATATGAGAACCTGGTTTAAAGTCTATGCAATGATACCAAGCAACTCCAGCTCTTCCAGAGACCAGGGATCTGAAAAGGCTTATTTTGTAACATCTGCAAAGAAGAAAAGAGGACACAAGCCAATTCCTTTCCACGAAGGGAATTAAAATGTAAAAAATAGGTAAGTCGCATAACCTCAAGAGGGACTAATATGAAGATTTAAAACTTTAGTAAAGAGCATTTTTGAGAAAGCAAAGTAGTTCATACGGCAAAGTTAGTTAATTATTGCAAAAGAGGGTTCAAAAGTCTTTCAAAACATGAGAAAGCATTGGAAAAACTCCTTGGGTGTCTTATAGAATCAAAGTGTCTGCCAAATATGCTGATGACTTTATTAAAAAGTAGATTTGGCAGGTAGCACATGCTTTATCTGTTTCAAAATATGGTATAGAAATAAGTACCTCAGCTCATATCACAGCAAGCATGTTCTGAAAAGAACATGAGGAGAAATATATTGCTAGACACCTCAGTAAATAACTAAAAGTTGCTGTTAATGGGAGAGTGGGAGACAGAAAAAGGAAAGGCATCAGGAAAGAAAAAGCAGAGAGGAAGCAGTTATGGAGAGGGGGGGGGGAAAAAAAGAAAAGCACAGCTTTAATTGAAATAAAAAAAAAAAGAAAAGAAAAGCACAGCTTTAATTGAAATAATATCAATCTTCCCAAGTGCACAGTTATCCATTCTGCAAACACGTAGAAACAGCCATGCCCTGTTACTTAGCAGAGTAGTGGCATATGCTTCTCAGCCACCACAGTTAACAGGACAATATTTGAACTTAAATTGACTTCAAATTTGCTTAAAACATTGGCATCAACTCCAGAGGAGTACAGACAGCTCCTATCCCCAAATCCCTTGAACTGCCACAGCTAAATGTGAGTGAGCTCACAGATCAGATCATCTAGCTGCACAGCCTGGCATTCAGTAGCTAAACGAGTGCCCAAATTTCTAATCATGTGACTTGGTTTTACTATGGGTCTGGTTTTGCAGAAGCATTTTCAGTTTATGTTGAACTTTATGAACTTATTTCAAATACGTCTATGACAGTGTTGTGTAATTACTCACAATATTACATATATACATACTGTTTATCAGCTGTGTACTATTTCTTTTATTTCTTTAAAAAAAAAAAAAAGGAAGGCACTCAATTTCTTAAAAGTGGGGGGAAAAAAAAAGTGAGCATACTGCTATACAGACAGTCTTCTACAGCACTGAACATAAAGAATCACCGTGCTATGATTTGCAGGCACAAAGGAAGGATGGGACCAGATGGGCTGCTCTACATGTCAGTGCAGAATTCTAGCTCAAAATACAGGACAGAAGAAAGCTGCTAAATTCACACTAATTAATGAGACACCATTTAAAAATTACTACATTTTTGAGCGAGCGAGCAAACAGGCACTGACAAGAGCATGGATGATGAATTAAATTGATGTACCTAATTTGATTTTAATTACTAATAATTGTGGTGTAGCATATTTGGTAATAGAAATGAGAGCTTAGTAATGACTTGCTACAGTGACTGCTATTAAATCTTCGTTGGTATCAAAAGGGAGTCATGACAATTACTCTGCAGGAAAAACATAAGGTTCACGCAAAACATGGATGATTGAAGTTCTACCATTTAAAGAAAATCAGGCTGAAAGGGAGGCTCAATTTATTATCTGATATATTCCCCCTCCAAGGTATTTTATCCTGTTCTTCCTATTTGTGTGCTGTGATGGGCTCTGTTCTGTTAGACTCTGTCAGGCTGACTCCTCTGATTCTAATAGAAATATTTTTTCATCTTCAGAAGCCACTGAAAAATAAAATTCAGTGGGAACGTTTCACAGCTTTTACGTATGTCTGGGTGTAAAGATCCTTGAACTAGAGCAAACATGAAGTGGCTGGTCTCTAGCATTGCATGTTGCAGAAAAACTAGCTCAGTCCACTTGGGCCATATTAGCATTGTCTCTCCAGTAAGACCAAAAACTGTAGTTGAAGGGAAAGAGAGCATGTTCTTAGAAAGCTAATCCAGCTCACTTGAAATTCTGTACTGCTGCAGACAAACTTCTTTCAGTGCTGAGGTAATATGTTTAATTCCACCTGAGGAATCCCTCCCCTACTCTTTAGAAAAGTCATATTGTTTATTTCACATGCATAACTGCTGTAAATAAATTAGACACACAGTGTAATATCTACAGAATTTAACATTTTTGTGCCTACTGATAATGTGAATCAGTGAATTTAACCAGCAAATGGAATGAGACTTTTTTTGTAACTATTTGCTACCGTATTATAGACTAGATCTGTTCCTCTGTGGTAAAGAAAAAAATTGTGTGTGGAAGACTGTGTGTGTGTTAATTATGCTAAAACATGCACACTGATATAAATAAAAGGCAGCAAATTACGGCACTCTGTCCAAAATCATTACTTAAGTGCAAATATTTGCTATTGAAATAATTGCTTAGAAAGTGTATTTACATAATTTCTTAGCTGATCAAAGCTACCATTTTAATTAACAGTCATATTCTGCATGCTTGCGTGCATCCAACAAACAGCCCTAACCATGTAATCTCAAAGGATGAACCAAAAAGAATCTTTGTGGATGACAATATATGAAATATTATGTACATTCTTCTTCATAAACTGAAACAGGTGACTCCACTAAGTGATTTAATGTCCAGCAATAACTATCTACTGTGAAAGTGAGTATTATACAATATATTTTTTACCTGGAAAATGTGATAGTTATGCGTATTATTTGCACTCCTCAAAAGGAGGCAAATAAGTGTTTCCTAGATTGGACATATTTCAAAGTGGCTTTTTCAACTACATCCACAAAAGTGTAGTGGCTTGTGCTGCACACCTATGCAAGCAAAAAGGCAATGGCATAAAACCTTGACTATGTTATACCAGCACATGCTATCGGTTCTGGTATCTGAGGAGACATATTTTTCTGCCATAGGTGAGCAGGAACTCAGTCACAATGAGAGAACTTTGTGCTGCCATTTGGATGTCAGGTCAATACAACTAGAGATGTGAACATAAAGGATTTTTCTGGTCGCTACATACACACACACAATAGCCAAGAACTTACAAGGATCCAGCCTCCACATTTGGACCTCGGACATAGAAAGGAACTCTGATATCAAACTCATATGGCATGGACTTTCCTTTCACCAGCCCGAACTGCCCAATATGATAACCATGGTCTGCTGTGTATATTATATACGTATTGTCCAGTTCACCGGTTTCAACCAACATATTGTAAATCTGAAAAAAAGCAACAAAATATGAAATTCATTCCACTGAGCAGTACTATGTGCGGAATATTGGATACAATTTTCTGCCTATGTGTAATATTCAAATATATAACAACAGTTTTATTATGCCACTGAGTTATCACAATGAACTAGTCTGAATAATCCATAATCAGATAATAATTGATTATATATATTTATATATAATACATATATATTACAAGGCAAACTTCTGTTTTCTGTTTTAAGGTAAACACATTAGCATGACATATTTTCAAAAGTGCTTGGGTGCAGTATTTTGCATGAGAGCTGTCAAGATAGTACTAAATACATACGGTAACAGAGATAGAAGTTTCAAGGTGATAAGCATTTTTGAAATTTTCTCTCCATCTTTATCTTTTTCCTGCAGCAAACAATTTTAATAAAATGACAGCATTTTGAATCTCACACTTATTTAAGCAACACTCAACGATCTTGCCTTCAGACAGATGAGTCCCCATTATGCAGAATATTTGCAAAATCTCTTCCAGATAAATATCACTCAGTCATGCTCTCTCACTAGCTGGAGAACTAACATGGAGAATTAAGAGGAGCTTTAACTCTGTGATTGTTTCTATGGATTTACATGAGAATCTCTATGTGAAATGTACTAACTTGAGCACCACAGATCAATTTTTATGTGACATTTTCACCTGCAAACATACGAAGGTGGTGGGGTACCACCAAAGTGGTGCCTCACACAGATCCAGAACAAATCAGCACAGAAGAAAACAAACTCTGTTGTTGTTGGTTTGGAATTTTTTTTTTTGTTCTTTTTTGGTTGGTTTGTTTGTTTTTGGTTTGTGGTTTTTTTTAATTTTGAAAGACTATTAGATGCATATAATCCAGTAGAAAAGATCCAGCTAACTTGGCAATTACAACTAAAAAAAAAACCCAACTGATTTTGCTTGCAGTGAATCACTCAAAGTGAAACCATTTTACTAAACAGAAAATCAAAATAGTGTAGTAAAATAGCCGATCTCCCCTAATGCTGGTATCTAATCCACCTAAACAGGTTCATTAATATGAAGCAGAGATCATACTTGCCTGAATCCGTAATTATAAGACATTACTAACAAGTTGATGCAATGCCATCCAGATAATCTCATCTTTGCCTTACAGGACTCCTCTTATTTTATGTTCTACCTTTTTTGACTAAGAATGCCAAGAGATAAGCAGTAAATTGCAACACCTTTAAATCTGCCTTCTTACAACTGGAAACCCATTCTTTTTCAGACTAGCTTTTAGCTAATTCAGAGGTTTCTGTTCAAGACACCCAGCTTGCAATAAAGAGATTTCATTGTTACATAATGCAGACTTAATTAAAAAAAATAATCTACCTACATATTTATTTACTTCTAACATTTAACATCCTGGGCCTGGTTTGCCATAGGATTATTCCAGTTAGGACTCCTGTAGCATCACTTGTTGTTGTTGTTCTCTCGGAAACTCAGTGTTACAGGATCAAAACAGGCCCACAGTTAGGTAGTTATTTCCAACAGGTTGTAGGATGACTTTTCACTATCAGATGACACATTTTTAGAATTTATGATGTACCTTTTTTCAGGTGATCCCTCCCTCTTCCCCTTAATCAGTAGTGGCTCTGTGGCAACAAACCAGCTCACTTACACCACCCAACTCATGGTACCTGTCTTTAGGAGATGAAGATCCTTACACATTGAATAGAGAGACAAAATCCTCAGAGGTGAAAGGATTACGCACTACTAAAAAATTGATGCAGTCCTCCTCCTCCTTCCTTCCCCCTTATCTTCATATACAGCACAGCTTGGAGCTTAACTCAAGAAACAAGCACCTGTTTAGCCAAAAAAAAGTGACTACTAATCTTACCATCTCCATAGAGTCGTCCACAGACATGAGTGTTTGAAGGCGCTTTCTCTGTAGCATGTTAGTGAACTCCATGTGTATAGGTTTCATGGGACCTGTATACCTCATTATCCAGTGCTTGTCTGGGTTTGGAGCATAGTTATAACTGGGAGTGCTAAGCAACAGAGAGAAAACCAGAACGTTTTAGCAGCAGAGAAAAAAGCCATAGTAATGTATACCAATAATTTCTTTGATCAACACTAGAGGACTAACTCTCTGAGGTACGCAAGAAAATACTAGATTTACTTTGGAAAAGTCTTATACTTTTATGTTCCATATGAAAGATGGAAGAATGAAAACAACTCTGTGGGGAAGAAAATCTATTAAAAGAATAAATATACATTGTTTTTGCAGTGTCTTCAGACTAACATGGATACATTTCAAGGCCAAGAGACTAGCCTCAGAAGTCGAACTCCACAAGTATGTTCTGGATGAAGCATGTACTATAGAGTTCCTACTCATGTAATTGCTTTGCTTTCACTCTGCCCACATTAGCACCAAATATTACGGCTTATGCAAGCTGTTTAACAATAACTATAGAACTTGCTGAAAAGGTTCTGCCATGTTCTTTAACAGCTTTTTTGAATTCAACATGACTGGCTACTTGAATACTTTCACACTCAGGTACCCAGAGGAGCACAGGCACCCTACCTGGCGGTATCAAACTGCATGTGAGCTCATGGCAAGCAGAAGTGGATACATAGCCGCATTTTAAAGACCTGCCAAGAAAAGCAGGCGTGAGGGGAAATAGGAGTGTATTTTGCAGACACTTTCCAGCCACCAGCTCCTTTGTGATCATCAGAACCTTTAATTAAAGCCCCTGCAAAATCCCAAGAGCTGGATTCAATGTCCTCCTGGAATCTCACAGCCCCTCCAAGTTCTCATGATCCTTAAATCATTAAAGTGATGAGGAGACATATCACTGATTTTCCATAATTTCATGTTGTTGGCAGTTCCAGGGAGTGCTTTTTTGTGCATAATTATACTGCTTTAGGTTACCTAGATCTAAACAAGAGATTTATTTTGGTATATCATTACCATAATGTTGACTCTCTGCATCACCAACTCACTAGAAAGCTATAATATAGCTTACATTTGCAAGAAATATTATTTTTACCTACTATATCTATTCCTAAAAAAGTTTGTTATTACTTAAGATTGAGAACCACCTTTGTCAATTTCTTCATATCTTGGCTCAAACACATCACCTGCAGAGTCTAAAATATTAAAAATTATTTTTTCTAAGTGATTTGTTGAGGCTTCCTTTTTTCATTCAAAGCAATAAACTCAGTCTATGCAAATGTGCAAGCCAAGAGGGTGACACAGTAACACAGGAAAAAATAGCAGATATTCAGTTATTTTCTTCTTCCTAACATACAATTTCCTGATAAATTCAGCTTCTATTTGGCAAATATCTACTGTTGTTTTTGTGTATGCAACAGAGCAGCAGGGTAAGTTATTAAGATAAACAATAGTAATATAAGTTGAAACTTCTCCTCAAAATACTGTGTTTCTAATGTATCTTTGAATATGACAGGAAGTCTTAAGAGTTTTAATATAAATATGAAATTAATAATCTGACAGTGAAATGTTTTATGCTGAAAGCCTCTGTTAGGCGCTATCTGAAAAATGTGTGTAGGCGGCAAATCGAGGCTTCTTCATATAGGGAGGAAAGGGCTGGTGTTTATGCTCTCTGTATTGTTAATAGCCTCTTGAATTTCAGAATGTTATTGTGGCTGAAATAATGACATTGCTCCTTTGAAAATGCTGACAGTTATGGAAACTGTTGCTATGTGATGCCCAGAATGAATCAAAAATGCTTGGCAAACTCCTTTTCAGCTTACTTTGTGATTTCCTGGCTGATTTGAAACCTCCTGCTGTTTAATCCAACCAAAGCCTGTGATTTTCTTTGATTACTACAAATGCAACCCTCTTACACTTAACAGATTTGTCTGTCTTATGGGAAAAATACACAAATATAACATTCCTAGAAGTTGGTTAAGATAACCTCTTCAAATGTACTCACAAGATAAGTCCTAGTCTGATTGCATTTGACCTTGGAAAAGATGGGTGGTAAAACGTACCCTCTACAGAAATAACATTTCTGATCACTGTTAAACTGCCCAGCTGTTGCATTCTCTGCAGCTATCAGTATAGGCAGTAAAAAAAGGAAAACCAGCCATGTAGCCTAGGGATTTGCTATGTGAATGCTGGTTGATGCGAATAATTTTTAAACAAGACAAGACTGCAGATGCACATGAAAAGGAGCTCTATAGAACGAGATGGAGAGAGACTGCAGTATAGGGCTGAATGGTCATACCAGCTAGTATATGTAATAATAGAAGCAAGAGAACAACAGCATAAATTAGCAACAGAGGTACATACCAGAGCTCCCAAGCAAAGTACTCCAATTGTCAGTCTATGCTAAAATCCATACCACTAACTTTTAGCTATTATTAGCAATGCTACACAATGCAGCATGTACGTCAACCAGTGTAAGCATTACAGTCACACCTTCACTTTGCTTTGTGGATATAGCTCAAGAATCTGCCTGCAGACTTTGTCAGTGCTGCCACAAGAAGAGGTACCATGCCACATGGTGTTCTGCTTTCTGATTCTGGGACCAGGCAAAGACTTTGCTTAGGGTATTGCTTACTGCTTTAGGGCAACTCATAAGAAGTGTTCTACCTGTGTCCTGATCCTTCCCTACTATATCCACATGACAACAAAACAGTGAGAACTGCCTACACCCCTTTATCATTGACAGATTTATCTGTCACTGAGGGATTCCCTGGAATGTGGGAACACGGGAAAAAATGGAAAGTAGAGAACTAATTTGTACATACAATGAGGGAATGATGCACATTATGCATGTTTACATTTAATCTTAAACCCTTGATTGAAATTAAAACCCTTAGATATTATTATTATGTAATGCCAGGAAAATTGTTTAGAATAAGATTGGCAGTTTATTTGCACAAGAGGTACATAAAATCCTATTTAATGTTCATATCCAAATGAAAACCACAGTTCCTTAATCTACTAAGATAATTTGTTTCTTTACAAACAAAACTTGTATCCACAAAGTGACACTTCCTGTATAACTGTTATCACTGTAAGAAAAGTCACCTACAATTAAAAATAGTTTTGTGTAACTACTTCATAATCAGGAAGATAAACCTAGTTTGTGTGAAAAATAAAACTTAAACTATGAGCAAAAGAAAAATAGATGTAGTTTATATTTTTCATTGATGGCCCTCCTCAAATCCTTCTACTCTTTCATTCAACTAGCATAATTACATTGCTGTAGAATGTTGCTTGATAAATGATTATCATCTCTGAGATACGAATGCCTTCCAAAGGAACTTCTAATAAGACTGAGGTCAATACTGTGTATAACCTACGAGAAGTTGCTCATTTGGCATTTCTGTAATTTTCATTTCAAAGAAAATAAATGAGCATAAGATGGCAAACAAACAAGAAACACTGCATTGCTGTAGATCTAGGACACAGATTCTCTTTGGTAGCACAGCACAAAATAGTGAAATATATAACTCTTAAGTTATGCAGTACCTAGAGAGTAGAACAAAGGAAGCTTCTTCTCTCAGACTCTATTTTAAATGAAGTGAAAGAGCTCAAATGGATTTCACTGGACTTTGGACTAGTCCTGAGCAGCTTTGGCTACCAATTGATTATTATTTCCATCAGTTCCCAGTTCCTTCACAAATCCAAAATAAAACAGAATTCCCCTTTAAAAAAAAATTTAAAAAGGGCACGTAGGAAGAAATTTACAAATGCTGAACATCAATGAAGGCATGAAGCCAGTAATTAGAAAAATATTGGAATGTTTTCAGTTGTGCCAAAAGGTGATTTGGGAGAACCATTAATTTTATCAGCATGCGAGGAGATGTCTGTAATGGAGCATTACAGAGCTGTACCTGTAAAATGTCTCTGTACTATAAACAAGAACCAACTCATCATGGAGCTTATGAGCATGTTAACTCAGGAACCAGGTGATACTGCTTTTGGGACCTGTTCAAGACATTGTACTGGGTCATGTACAGACGTACCAGCTCATTCAGAAATAGCTTGTCTAATTTCGTGCTGCAGGCCTGTATTTCCTTTCTTTCCATACATGAAACAGGAGTAATAAGTATTGCATACTATGTGATTTTTGGTTATACCCATAATATAGTTTATACGTAAGGACAGGGAGATAGACTTTCTTCCCCTGAAGAGATTACAGCCCAAGAACCAGATCTGGATCCCCCTGCTCAAAATAAAACAGTGCTTTACTTCCCAAATAGGTTGTAACAATGTCCAATGAATTCAATGTGAATCTTTCCATTTATCTCAGCAAGCTACAATTTTGAGTTCTAGATGCAGTAGCCATTCCGAAGATACTTGTACTAGTCTGAAGAGGTAAAAAAAAAACCAAAACCCAAAAAAAACCTCGAAACTCTTCTTATATATTTGTGACAAACTTATGCCAAGAGTATTATAAAGCAAATGCTATTCCCCCAGAGATACCCAGGACTTCTGTACTCCTGAACCTGGAAATGAAAGGGTTTTATTTTTCCTTACATGTGTTGTGAGGCATTAGGAAAGAGATGTGAGTACTGAGGGGCTGAATCTTCAGGGCCGTGAGGAGCAGCATGGCTTATAACCATCAGTACAGGCCTGTGAGGATACATCTTCTTTGAGATTCTGAAGAAGGTAATACTGTCATTGGTAATCAGATCAGTTAGATAATCCTGCAAGTAGAAGCAAAAGTATAATGAGATACTTGAAAAATAATTTCAAGTTGGGGGGGTGAGATGGGAAGGGGAGGTCTGAGGTCTCATAAGAAACAGGAAAAAAGAAGCTACTTCACTCAGAATGGGAGGAGGAAGAGGGAGCAAGTTACAGATGTTAAAACTTCAAAAACTAAAACCAAATCATTCTTTGCTGCCTAGAAATATGAAAAGCAACAGCTTCCTCTCAGAAATGAATGACATTAAAGAAGATCAAACAGGACTCTTTCTTCCCAGAGTGTGTAATTACATTATGAAGATCACAATACTAAATACAATGACCAGGTATTAATTAAAAAAAGAAAATTACAGGTCAATTTCTTTGCTTTTTGGTGTCGATATCTTGAAGGTGTATAGTCTGACCTTACATCATAAAAGTGCTTTAAAAATCCATATGGCTTGATGTTCATTTTTCTTAATCTCCCTCTGAACCAGAAGTCACTAAAACTAGAAGATACTGGGGTAATTGGACCAAAAATTTCATTCAATATTATAGGCACAGTGACAATCTGATAGAGATATAGCTCTACCAAATAAATTCCTGAGAATTTAGAAAACTTCCTTTAGAAGATACAGACTATCTTTCATTTTCTAAGAAGTATCATTATCATTCTTCTGATATCTGCTGGAGCTATATGGATTGAAGACAGTATTTTTAACGACAAGCCATGTTCTCTCTTAGGCTACATCACAGGAAATGCTGCAAATATAAATACCCCTCAAACATGAGTAGGATATGAAACTGCACCTTTAAAAAACAAAATAATAACTGTCATGTCACAGCTGAATGTAAAAATCAGACATAATGTTTGCCTCTGGTTAAGTGAACAAGTACAAGGTGTGTACATATTGGATTGCATCTCAAACTTTTAAGTACAGCTTTCTGTCCATGGTTCAGACACTTGCTCCTCTTTACCACTGCCAATGTCCTTGATCTGAGAAGTCAGCTTATCATTCATCAAAGGAAGCCTTTTTCACTGACTGTATTTACTTTCTCCAAATTATTTCCTGTGTATCCCAGAACCAGGCTGGCAAAGTCTCTGTTCATAATTTTACACATTGGTCCCAACATGAGGAATGTCTGTTATGGAACTGCCATGATTATGACTGTTATTGATAGGATATTTTCACTCATGAAAGCAGGAGTAAACAGGCATAATTCCATCAAAGTTAACTGCAAGACCTCCATTCATAAGCATATGCAGGGGAAGGGAGAATGTGCAATAAGCCAGACCAAAGCAAAACTGACTTCTGAACATACTTTCAATACCTGAGACCACGCTCATAGCTGAGAGAGAATACCAGAGTGCTCTCACAAATGCACTGACTTTTATCTAAAATGCGCCTGTTCTTTAAGCTGGTTGGTCACTTTCTTAAGCATGTAACTCATCTTTGATTTAGCCATTATAAGAGCATAGTTTTCAAACTTCATTTCGAAGATGAAGGTTTTCACCTGGTCAAAGTGAAAATCATTCAAACTCAACATTGCAGAACCAGTGTTTACCAAGCCAAAAGACCAAACAGAAACATTTCCCTTAACTGATTTCTTTTTTTTAAAAGCTCCAGATGGTAGAGATTGTAGTAGACTGTGCGAATGCATACAAAATTAAAAATTCATCTAAAAAGTTGACAGAAACTGAAAAAGAAAAGCCAAAGTAGAATATATCCTGTTAGAAAATCTGAAAGAATTTGCAAAGATTTGATTTTCAGAGGAGAAGTGCTTAGCAGTCACTTTGGAGGACAGAATCAGTAATGGTTTTTTCTAGTTTTCCACTGGCACATAATTAACATTAACTATGTCAAGTAGACAGGGCTAAAAAAATAATCTGATTATATTGTTCAGTGCTGGAAAATTAAGTTTCCAGCAACAAAAATGGCAGGAAAGAAAGAGAAGCAGTCTTGTATTTCAGCTTCTATTTGTTCATTTGAGCTCCAGTGTTAACATCAACAAGTGCTGTTGCTCTGCACACTATCATCTGTTTATTACCATAGCTGTGTATTATGCAAGAATATGAAGATTATAAAAACATTTATATTTTCATCAGACTTTTTTTTTTTATTTATTACCAAACTCGGTAAGAAAAACTAAACCAAATGAAAATCTAAACATTTTCAAGTATTGCATACACAAAACAGAGCTGAGGATATTGGAACATGAAAGTTCCCTCTTGGCTCCTTGGTACAATGAGGAACAGTGCCCTGTGAAATCACTTGCCTGACTTTGTTCCATGTTAGATGTATTTCCACCGTAACATTTTTGGTACATAGCTGTAAAGATTAGCGCTCTCATTCTTCACAGATCAGAAGGGAAATAAAAGACAAATAATTCTGTATATCAGTCACCCCTTCCCCTTAGCAGCTCATGACAGAAAAGGAAACCCTAGATGTCTGTTAAGTTTTATCTTTAAACACAAAGTACATTCAATTAAAAATGGCAAATGGGGGAGGAGTTTTATCTTTCAACACAAAGTACATTCAATTAAAAATGGCAAATGGGGGAGGGGAAGGGGGAAATGACACAGACATCAACCTTTTAAAGAAAAAATTGACTATGAACACATTGATAATGAAACACAAATATGGAAGCAGGATTTGTGCTCAATAAAAGAAAGCGAACCAAATCCCCATTAAGCAAATACACCTGACAAATTAGTATCACTCCAGAGTAAGTCAACTTCATAAGTTGTACACTACTTAAACTACAGCAGTTTATGGATAAATTTATTTATCATCATATTTCAGAGGCAATTCAGGCCATTTTAGGAATTCACAAAAGCTGGTTCCTTTGGAAAGGTAACACTTTTGGCTGAAATAAACATACTTCTGACTGCAAACAGGTAACTGAGCTGTAACATGTGCTAGATGAGGGGAAAAAAAATGATACTGCGTTTGACGACGACTATCAAGCATTTTAGTAAGTTTGACCAGGGTATAACATCCTTGCAAGGATATTAGGGAACATATGCACCTGTAACAATGCACGGAGATATACATTTAATAGTTAAATTCTCCACTCATTCAGAATTATCATAAGATATACCAAGATATTATGAATTCTCCATCATATTACGGCGATACTGCGTTTGACGATGACTATCAAGCATTTTAGTAAGTTTGACCAGGGTATAACATCCTTGCAAGGATATTAGGGAACATATGCACCTGTAACAATGCACGGAGATATACATTTAATAGTTAAATTCTCCACTCATTCAGAATTATCATAAGATATACCAAGATATTATGAATTCTCCATCATATTACGGCTGTGAGAAGTTCTTTAACATAAAAAGATGGGTCTAGCTGGAGGGAACTGGATTCTTATCTCATTTACGCTTGTGTAACACCACTGGAGTCAGTTCTATACCAGGGGAACAGATGACAATCTGACTCAGCACACAATAATTGAAATACAAAGCACAGAAATAGTTATCATGCAGCATTTAAATCCATTTTCACATCTTCAACTCATAATACAGTCTCAGGTTGTTGTGTTTGTTTCCATTGCCGCTAACGATGTTTTCAGTAACATGACCCTCCCAGAATGGAATATAATGAAAAGTCCAAACACGATGCCTATTGGGTTTTAGCTGATGTTACACATAGCAGCTTTCAAGTACGAAAAGAATTCTTTAGTTAGACTGAAACCATAAAGGGTAGCTTTCTTGCAGTCACGTCCAAATGTTAAAGAAACAGAAATAAATCAATAGGACCTACCCTGGAGTAGTCAAATCCATGCTTCTCCTTCACTCCATTTCTACAGAGTGTGTAGTTGTAAAATCGAGAGTTTTTAAGTAATCCAACCCATTCTTTCCAACCAGCAGGCACATAGGAACCATTGTATTCATTAAGGTACTTTCCAAAGAAAGCTAGGGGTAGAGAAAGCAGAAGGATAGTAAGAAGGTGTAACAGAAACACTTCAAAGACACCATATTTAACTGTATTCTTTCCTTTCTATCTCTTCTGAGAGGAGCTTTGTTTTCTTCATTCAGATACATTTAAGGTAAGAGATAAGTTCCGAGTTATAAGTTTGCCTGTGTTTGTTTATTTCAGAGCTCCATAATGCAGATCTTTTGATTTACAACCTGACTACATATGAGAGAAACTGGACCACAATTACCATTATATTTTCTTTAGTGCCTGATACATTCAGAGTCAGATGAACAAAACAGAGAATGCTTAAAATAGTGCCAGTTGCCACATTATCTCATCCTACTCTGAATCACCCAGTTCAGCTACATTTTTCATTTTGGTTACACCCACTTAAGCCATCCCCACCTAAGGAACTGGCAGAAACAGTGAAGTCACTAATAGGAGGCTGGCTTGGGAGAAATGATGAGAAATGAGGACCATAAATACGATGAGATTTTAAACTTGCTGCATAGAAGAAATGAAGCAGCAGCCTGTTTTGGCAGAACAAGTACAGAATGAATACAAGGATTCTTACAGAACACAGGGCAGGCATTTGAGCCCTCCTCCCAGAAGAGCTATGTATATGCTAGCCTTGCTCTGTAAGCCACAAGTGTACAGACACAAATTATTTTCCAGAAAATGGTTAAGGAAAATGAAAAGCATTAGATTTCTATCAGAAGAACACGAATTCTCTAAAGCATATGAGGTACCCAATGATGCTTTCACACTATTCCGGTAAAAAAATAAATAATTTAAAGGAACATACTTTTCGGTATTAGTTTATATGTTATATCATCACTATGCAATTACAGGATAAATTATACTGGAAGACTCTAGTCTAGCCAGTTTTTTAAAGCTTAAAGGCAAAATTCTGCTCTTGGGTCTGCAGACTGCACTGTGATTCAGCATCTGACTTTTCATGATCAGAGCTCAGATCTTAATTTTTGAATGGTCTAGCAATACAAGTTAGCATTACCATCACAACAGTGACTAGCACAAAGATCTTTACACTTGTTCCACTTGATATTACAAGTATTTTTAATCCAGCAGCACATAGTGCCTGCAGCACCTCATACTGACCATCTATCAGTAAACAGCTGTGCTTCTGTAAGGACAACAGAGTATCTGAGATTCTGATCTTGGCCTTAGATTAAAGCTCATCTCAAAGTCTAGGGGATTTGAGCACACAATTTGCAGTTCCCAGGTTCTTAAGATTTTTTTTTAAGCTTGCAGCCTACAATGTCTGATACTGCACCTTCTTGTACTTATATACATGCAAGGAGCAATACTGCAGAAAGAGTAGAACAGGTTTTCAGCCACTGTAAAAAGGCCCAGTCTCACTGAAGTAAATGGATTTGTGTCTATTTCTGGTAGGCTGAATATCTGTCCAAAAGACAGACACAGTGAGAACAGTGAGAACCAGTGATACAAATCAGTACGTGAGAGAGCTCCGTATCGTTACCTGATTGTGTTTTTCTTTTCTTAAAAATATGGGAAACATTATATTAGCAACATGATAGTATAAAATAATACAAGGGAATGGAATTAAATAAATTTACAGGGAGTATATTGTGCACTGAATGTCCATAAGATCCAGCTCAAAGTGCTTAGGTAGAATTCCAAAGCATATTTTGAATCATCCTTCTGAATAAATTTCAACGTATTCGATTAATGTGTAAGGTGAGCCAAGAGAAAGTAAATGTTTGAGATCTTTCAATGTGTTTGAAAGAGATGAAAATGCTGACAAAATTATGATCTACATCACAGATGATGATGAGGGCACATCTATTGGGACACAATTAATAAATTCCTTAGAATTACACTGTGCTTTCAAAATATTTTGCAAAAGCAGGTAAGGTGTTATGCTATTTTAAAGATGAGCCACTTACAAAAGGGTTAAGTGACTGATAAGCATGCTGCAGAAAAGAATGTTTCACTGTCCTAAACTACCTCATAACATCTTCTTTAACCAAGCAAACTAGCAGCAATGAAAAAAGCAATATCTACTCCACTATAGGTGAAAACTATCACATTACTCAGGGACTGTATTTATACAGTATATACACTTTTTCAAATTATTTTGCTTTATGAACAACTTCTAATTTTTAAAGAATGAAAGGCAACTCACAGTAGTTATGGAAAATTAAACAATACAGATGCACATTTTTTCTTGTCCTGGTAACAAGGAACACAGGATTGAAACACTGACCACTGTCTACAGTAGCAGCTATGCACAAGGCAGTCCAAAGCCTTTTGTCCCCCATTCAACATATTATATCCAAACAGAGATATATTTGGCATTTCTGCTCACGGGAACCAATCCATTCCTAAAACTTTTGGCTCAGCCAGCTGAAGGACTCAGGAAAGAGGCATTCTGTAAAGAATTACTTCATTGTTATTCTGCAGAGGCATTAAAGGAAAGTCTGGCGGAAGTTCCTTCCAGCACCTTTTGCATACCCCCCATTGTACATTCAGGATGTCTTTATAATCTTTCATGGATGTCAAAGTGCTTTAAATAATTTTCTCTGCTGTTTTCCAATCTTCCATTTCACATCTTTTTCTTTTCCCCCTCCTTCTCAGCCATTTAAAGGCTTGTTATTCAAAAACTTTTAAACATCACTCCTCTGCAATACAAAATATTGGGTTACAATAAAGCTCTCTTGATGCTAGTGAAAGATTTTGATTTTGGACTGTAAAGATTCTCTCTAACACAATTTTTCCCCTCATCAGATTAGCTCACCACCAGAGACAGCTGCTCACTAGAGTACACATGCCTTTGGTACATCCAATTTCAAACTGCTCCAAACTTTCATTAATAAACATGCTCAGAGGCTGCTGTTTGATATGCTCAGTCATGTTCCTATATCCAGTCTATGAAATGATCATTAAAAAACATCCAAGTGGCTGTTTTTAATAAATGCGTTAAGAATATGATTTTCCTTTAAATACTATACAACGTAGTTTCTCCTAAAACTACATAAAACAGGATATGCAAGAATTGAGTCCTTTGTACACTGTTACCACTTCCGCAGGGGTTCATAACCTTCTAAGGTTCTTTTCTCAGAGTCTCACCCTTCAAGGATAAGCACCTGGAAAATTCTTTGGTATAGAATGGAATTTTTACAAGAGGTTTTGTTTTTTTAAACTCTTCCTGTAAGGGAAAAAATTGTACACAAAAGAATTTTCCCTGTGCTATCATTAATACAAGGTCTGCTCTGAATGTAATATAACCACAGATATATCAAGGCCACAGCTCATTGCTTAGAAAGCAGACCTAGCGTATTGTCAAATGTAGTGTAAAAGCACAATCAAAAGAACGGACATCAAGGCATCATTTACCACCATTGGAAATGTTCAAGCTAGTTCTATCACCTATCTATATCATCTATCAAACTCTACAAGTTTGTTGGGGTTTTTTTCCCCTTTTTTTAAACACTAATTCTTTCCCTAATACCTACCTAAAAACACTTAACACAACTAAAATGCATCTACAAAGGATATTCACAAAACTTTGCATTAAATTGATAACTAAGATAATTCAGGATGCATCAATAAAATAATGCAGGGGACCACTTATCCCTTTTTATTCCATACGGACTGCCCAAAATTGGGAGTTGGATATAACAGGCCTTTTTCAGTTCTCAAACTAGAAACAGGAATGCAGTGGAAGTCAACAGAGATTCACCAGTGTAGAATTGTCAGAAGATCAGATTTAGACACAGAATTTCAGTCTTTCATTCAGTTTCCTTGATTTGGTAGCTCTGATTCTGACCACAGTCATCTGTTTAGACACAGGTCTGTTAACTACTGGCCAAGATCAGTTAGCCATTCCACTAAAAACCTGTTTAACAATATGATCATAGCGTTTATGCTCATTTTAAATAAAGTAAGATGATGAAATCAAGAAAGGAATGTATGAGAGGAGTATTGGTAATAACTTCCTGACAGTGATACATGACATTCTGTTGAGAAGCAGTGAAAGATAAAGCTCTGCTATACATAAAGCCAAGTCAGGCTGTGCACTAGAAAAATATACTCTGTGGAGCAACGTTAGCCTGGCTTTAGGGGGACCTAATAACCTTTTCAGATGCAAGGAGATTATTGAGAAGACAAAGCCAGGCTCTTCATGGTGGTGCATGGTGGGAGGACAAGAAAGAACCAGCATAGATTGAAACAAGTGAGGATCAGCCTGGATGTAAAGAAAAGCTTTTTCACAAAAAGAAGAGTCAAAGAGTGAAACAGGTTGCTCAGAAAGACTGTGCAATTCCAATCCTTGGTGTTTTTCAAGACTAGACTGGATAAAGCCCTCAGCAACATGGCCTGGGGCAGGCTTTGAGCAGGTGGTGAAAAAGAGACCTCCTGAGGTCCCTTCCAACCTGAATTAGCCTGTGATCCTATGATGGACTAGATGACTTATGAGGCCCATCTTCAGTTGAATATACACGATTCCAGGATTTCATAATTTAGGAATATATTTGTAAATATTCATGCTCTCATAATAAATCCTGAAGCTGAGAAAAAAGTAAAATTCAGCTTTTTGTTAACTCCTGGACAGTAAGCTCAGTATTTATAGCACACATCCCTCCTCCTGGAGTCTTCTCTTCATATCCTTCATGCTACTTAGCTGTATCCACGTATTAGCACCCCATTAAATTGCACTTACCACCATGACTGTGAAGTAACTCATGTTTTAAGCTATTAACCCTCTACCTTTAAACATGAACATTGTGCATTAAGTACTTTAAAGACATATTTAAAGCACTGTTTTTCTGTCATATTTCAACAGCCAACTTTCCAGGTATTAACTTAGGTTTTGAGCTGCAAGTCTTAGTTACTCATAGGGATTTGTTTACCCCTCTAAAGTCTTTTACTTCTGTATCGGATATTAGTTTTCCCCAGCTCAAAGTTGAACAATTAGCTACATTTGAGCAATCCTTTAGTTTTGGATTGGGTGAGG